CAATTCGGGGTACACTGTTCTTTTATTTACTGTACTTTCAATTCTCAATTTTGTAATCTTTCAAATTACCAGATTGACTTAAATATAAAAGTTAGGTTTGCTACATAGCACCATAAACACATTATAAACAAATAGTTAAATAATGACAGTGCTGAAATGGAAATAAGATGTTATAATCATATCAGACATAGCCCTTTTTAATTCACTTGCATGAAAAATTGTCTCTTGGGATTCGAACATGCGACCTCTCACTGTCAGGGCGAGTGTCATTTCCATTAGACCACAGAGACCTAAAGGATATACATGCAGATTTAACCCCAAGGCACTTTCTCTCATACAACTGACTTAAACGCTCACACAAATATAAGTAATTTTTTTTAGGTTTTTAGAAATAACTCAATTGACATTAAGCTGTGAACCATTTTTTGGCATGTTAAAGTTTAAAGTGCATTATAGTTTTTTTTATCAATAAATAAAAAGAATATATTTTTGTTAAGTCATGTTATACTGCAAGGAGAGACAAAACCAGGAAAGAAAGAAATGAATATGATTTGAAACTGAGTCAGTTTGATTTGCACTCCACATTATCTCCATCTGGAAGTGTTCATGTGGTTAGTTTCCGCAGGGAGTGATTTTGGCCTGACCTATACATGTCTCGCTGTCATATGCTTGATGAAGCCATCAAATATTCGCTGTCACAAACCACCAGACTTACCCCTGAATTTGTCCTGCTGTCTGCCCCAGCCTAAACCAAAGGTTGCAGATAAGCCGGATCACAAGATTATAACCCACTTGGGAAATCCAACCATCTGAACCACAAATGAAAAAAAAAATATCTTTAAGTTATCTTTATCTTTTTCAATCAGTGTATGACTCAATAACAGAATGTGGTCTATCTACAATAGGGAGGGGAAGTATTCTTTGACATACAAACAGATTTTTCAACAAATATCGTTGTTAGCAGGAAAGTGAAAGCGTAGCGTATGCTTGTAACGAGCGCCAGTGGGAATCCTCGATTGCTTCCAGCACAGTAACGACAAAATCAGATTCATACAGCTTTGGGATGTTTCCTGCTAAATTGATATCATTAAGCGATTGTAATGTTTTCTCACTTGCCGATATCAGGTTGTTTAGTATGTGCAATGGTCTTTTGAACATGTCCTTATTGATGTCTGGGGATCCAACTAAAGACCTGTCAAGTGCTTAGTTTTTAGTGCAAGCTTTGCTACCAAATCGAATTAAAGAATTTGAAAGTTAAAATTACAGACACCCTTCAGATGAAATTGATTTATCCGATTTATGTGTCTTTGAGAGAGAAATTTGAAATGATTTCGTGCTTCTTTGATTTTCTTAGAATAATTGCAGTCAATTTATGAGATTATTTATAATTTGGAGATTCATTTAGTTTATGAAAGTAACTGGATTGAAAATTGCCAGAAGTATGGCAGAAAATGAATTATTTTAATTTGAAAACAATTTTGTGGTTAGAAACACAAATGAAACAATCTATTAATTTTGAATAAAAATGATCAAATTTTGGTGGGTGTGTTTTTCTAGGCATACTCTATAAAAACACTCTGATTAACGAGTTGTGTTACATGTCCGATTGAAACTTAAATTTTGTCATAAGGTGCCAGAGACGTGTATCTGCTGTTGATTTACAGCTGTTTTCAAATCGTAACAGTGCTGTTGGCACATATATCAAGCAATAACTTGTTACTCCTCACTACCACATTTCAATTGTTTTCACATTGTAAACCGATGTAATTGAATTGTCAAGAGGTGTTTCAGAGCTCGTTTATTGAGAAAGTTGACCAAGCAGGTTAGCAACAGTGAACTGTAGTTATTGCAATCATCTGTTTTCCATGATAGTTCATCAGATGGAGAAAATAACCAATTAAGTTGGTGGAATTTGACCATTGTGAAAGGTCAAAGAGGAGAAAATAGGTAATTTAGTAATTTTTGATACCTGGCTCTCATCACCAACACTATCCCATATAGCTTTTCAAAGTTTGAGGCTAACAATAACATATACCACTTAAAGAAAATAATAATATTTATTACATGCTACCCTTGAGGCTAAACGCTTGTTAACTTAATATTGATTTGGAACTCAGTGGCTAAATTTCATTGACCATTGCTTGCAGTTGGTCAAGACAGACCAATTGGCCAGTGTCACTAGAGATCGTCTACCAATCTGACGATAGTCACCTGCGTGGTCAATTGTGTAATCTGACCGGTTGTGGGTGACCGGTTTCAAAGAATGATATTCCTAACTCAATATTTTAATAAAGAAGTTAAATAAAGATTGTTTTCTTTTAAATTTATAAATTTGATCATCTGAATTTTGCTAAATGTGGACGAATTTTTTAATCAAAAGGAAATTGAACTGGAGCAAAAAGTGCACATGAATTGTAAAGTACATTAGTAACAAAATCTATAAAATTAAAAACTATTCAAATGGAATATGTCTATTCTGTTTTGGGAATTTAAAAACTTAAATTTGAGAATTTAAAATAGCCACAACTCAGGAGGTTCAGTAAAAGTAATATGAGGAAATACACAATGATTTATGAGATAATAATGATATTGAATATGGTACTGTCCAGCGTGATGGATGACTACAATAGAGATATTTTATTAAACTGTCTTCCTATGTATGTAAAGGAAGCTGACAATGATATCCATGCCTTTATCTTAACCCTTCTGAATAAAACATGTAATAAACACTATAGTAATCTCATAATTGATATTTTGATGGACATTACCATTACATAGTGTGGCATGCTTGTTCAAGGCCTTTGGTTATAGGGTACTATAGCAAGCATATATCATTGTTATAAATGAGGTTATAGCGGTGATGAGATACTCTTCCAAAAAATAGAACTGTCTGGGTTGGAGGCTATTACCCTCACTCATGTCATCCAGCCACCAATATATAATATTGGTTTATGTAATTTATTACATGCATCCATTTTCCAATTCAAATATTTTGGTTATTCATTTGGAACAAGCTTATTATTAACCTCTTGATAAATATGGAGATTGTACAAATCAAAGAGAATTCGTGATACTGGGTCTGTGAGGTAAACAAACGAATACAACATTGCAACCTAATACCTATCACCGGGTACCTTCTTTTGCAACCTTAATAATTTCAGTAGAATGGTTTGTTTTTTCTGCCGTTGCCGCTAATCAAATTGCATGCAAGTCTAGTAATTATAGATTATACTCTTTCGTCTATAGCTTGTATTCTCTAAAAATGATACATTTGTTTGTTTGTCTTGTAAGTACAGCACGTCAGGAGAAACCAATAATTATAACAGATGAAATTGAATCTGATAAACGCTGGGATTGTGACATATTGGAGCATACTTCCAAATCAGGTCTTTCTTCTAATTACACTGCTGGCAGACGTACTCAAAATAACATCATCATTGCTAGATGATGTCTGATATAATATCTGTGATTTTTAAAAATTTGTTTATACTGTTTTGTATATTTTATGCTTTTCTTAGTTTTTATTTCTTTTGTATTTTATTGTATACGATTGTTGCCTTAAAGGAGTTTCCGCAAGAACCAAATAAATCTGAATCTGAAAAAGAATTGTTATCAAAGTTTCATTTTACTCTGTATGATATTTCAACATCACTATTTATAGGCTATCTATAATTAGTTTTAAATGTATGATAAGACAAAAATAGACAGGAAAGGCAAAGCAAAAAAAATAACAAATATACAAAATATAAGATGCGAACAAAAAGTAAAAGAAAGTAGGGCCATGGGACTTGTTTCCAGTGTGGTCTTTAAATAAGTGTTTAGAACAGAAACACAATGACATAAGCTGCTAATGGTGTCTCGGATAACAACAACAAAATCTAATAGTATTACTACACTAAGAAGCAAATTCACTTCAAAGAATTCATCTAAATTATTACTTTTCTTAATCATGAACACAAATCCCTTCAGGTTTCCATCAATTGTCCAATTTATATTAGTATTCAGGTGTAGGATATCCATTGAAATTCGCTAATGATTGTGCCGTGTTGTTTTTTCATTCAACTGAAATATTTATACTTGTCTAGTGGCTATTTATGGACGTACCTCCCAAACATGGCTAATCTGAGTCCTTGTTTCTGCTACAGGCTCAACTGTGGCAATTTTCATTTTACGATTTCCTAAACGTAATAAACTTTTGTTTTTGGATTAGTGGAGTGTTGTTTTTTTGGCGTAGCTGTTTTGTCCTAGGTGGCAACTACCCAGATGTCGGAATGATTCCTCAGGCAGTAAAGAATGCTAACGCCAGTCAAGTGGAAACTAAATTGTTGCATTTGAGTTTTTGTCAAATTACTAGTTAATATGTCAATCAAAAGGAATGACCCCTAAAAAAAAGCATCGATTTCACCATCAACAGTAAATCATTCGTAATAAACATACGTATTAATTACATGCAAGAAGAGAACCACAAAAGCAACTCAGTTTTATCAATGTTGATTTAGTTTCGCACCGCAAGGTCGGGTTTATTTCTTCTAATGCTATCGTCTTATTTATCTTGCCAGTAACTTGAATCTGTCTTAAATTTTTTCTCATTCAATGTCTTATAAAACAACCTGAATTTAATCCGCCTCAAAGAACAGTTTCAATATTTGCATAATGCCATTTGTTGTATTTGACAGAGATTTTAAATAAGGTAGTGGCTACAATTAAATATCCTAATTATGCATCATTCATTGGTTAGTCACATGACTTAATATTAAATTTGCATAAATTGATTTACATTAAGTATGTTTTTTTTATTTTATTTATTTATATTTTATTTAGGATGAGAAACTACTTTTTTTTTTAACTTGGCCTAATATATATTATAAATATATATTGTACTCATGATGTTTTATACTGGAAAAAATATATATATTATTTTTATGATAACTGCACAATAAAAAGATACTTTATAGACAAAAAAAATCTTAGGAAGCCTTCTTTTAATTTATTTCTTGCAGCAGCAGGCCAGGAAGACCACCAAAAAGAAGCATGCCTTTTATGCTGAGCCCTCCATTGCACGCCCTCACGCACCACGGAGCCGACATCAAGAAATCAAAATACGAAAGTGATTTTCATAACGGTAAGGGACATAATTCACATTAATTGTATGTGATGTGTGTGTTTCAGTTTGCTCGTTTTTCTATCATCAGTAGTTCGTGTTTGAATGTCGCATTCCCGCAGTGGCTGTGACGGGAGAATGCCGGCAATCAGACAACTGGTAAACGGAAATAAGATTACGAAAAGAAAACCCAAGACCAACGAAGGGAAAAAAAATGTTTCTTTCAGTTGTGACTCAACTTCGACATCTTTGTCACCTGATTGGTATCTGGCGTTAATGTAATTGTGATTTCTAGTTTGATTCTAAAATGTCCTTTGAATGTGTGTTATCAAGTATGACTACATTCTCGATTCAATGTTATCGAGTCTACGTTTTTGAATTTGCATTCACCGTCAATTTAGATCTCTTCCATTTTACCAACTAACTGTAGTTGCTATTTTTAGCTGTCTCCCAGATATTTACCAGATTTAGGTCAGTTTCATTGTTAAAATACACAAGTATATTTTCCTTAAAAAGTAAAGTATATAAATATAACTATATAGCATTAAATGAAGTGAAAAGAAAAAATGTATCACCTGAAATTTTTATCAGGTGTGATGATCCAAGTCCTCTTAGGGCTCTATTGAACAATCCTCATAACACAATCCCCATTGCATGGTCTGATGGTAATGCTATTGCACTGTCATTGCATTTTATATCACACTGCATATCCGGTGTTCCCACCCAAAATACATTGTCACTATGGCATTCGATGTTATACTATTGAATAGTCACTTAGCAGTGCCACTAATATTGCACTGTCTCTATTGATTCATTTCTAATTGCTCTATAATATTACTAATGAACCATTAATATCCTACCTTTTCTTATTGTACTATTTCTCTGACACTATTGCACCTAATCTGAGTGCAATAGGCCTATTTAATATATTCTATTGCACTACTGTTCCAATAGTACAGTCTGTTCTGTATTCAATCTGTTGCTATTATACTATTGCCTTATCACACTGGGACATCTAATCCCATTGCACTATCCCTATATTGTAGTATTATTCCCATCCCAATACACTATCTTTATTCCACCTTTCTACATTGTTACTGTAACTCCAAAAATAGAAACCTTAACTTCCTTTGCACATAATAGACCGCCACAAACATATGACCCAAGGGAACAAAGTAAAATTATTTCTTAATTAATCTCCAAAATAATTGAATCCCTAAAAATCAAATTATATAGTTGCCAAGATTATTTTTATACATTTATTTGTAGATTTCTCAGTGGTAATAATAATTAATTATGATTTGGTTTCTGCCATATGTTGATTACTATGCTAATATAATTCCTGCTATTTTTATAGGTGTAGAACTGTCTACACTTTAAATAGAATGCTTATGTTTAATTGCATAATTATAACCTAAATTTAATTGTGATTTTTTTTTATTCTTAAAAGTGAAAAGAATAAAATTAGGCAGGTGCTTGCTATTGAGTCTTAAATTATTTTCCCTTCCAGGCACCAGCATTTCTTTGTTCTGGACCCATGGCCATTTAAACACTCTTCAAGCTAAATTTACTTCTATCCCAAATAGAAAAAAAAAATTAACACTCCTTAAAAAAGGCTTCGCATGCAATTGTGGACAAAAAAATTAAATCTGTTAAATAGATCATTTTTAAATCTCACAAGGTCCTTCCTCTATAATTGAAAAGGTTTATTTGTTTAAATACGGAAGACCTTGTTTAATATTGTGAAAGATGTGCATAGGAAGGCCTTATTAAATTATCTTAAAACACTAGTACTTTAAACAAGAATTAAATAATAAAATTGGATATAATTTTTTTTTTACTTATCAATTCTTGCATGCAATAAATGTTTAAATTTTAATTAATGTTTATATTTTTATATTTATTGCATAGACCCTTAGATTCGCTGGTAATTAATTTGAGGGTTTTTGTAGTACGATGTCTGCAAATCAGTGAAGACGTAATTTGTATGTCTGAAAGTTTCTTTGAAACAAGTCAAGTTTTAATTAAATACTGAGGAAGGCTGTTTTCAGAATTTTCTACAGACATTCTGTAACCTATTCATTCCGAATGCAACAAATGTCTACTAAATTGAAGCTGATAGCATTTATAATGATGGGAAAATGAAATTAAATCTAGATCTAACTTAGTTTATTTTACAGACGAATGAAATTAATAGCGCCTCTTAAATTTCATGTATGTAAGCTATAATGATGGTAAAATGTAACCAAATATTTAGATCTTATTATCGATTAAATTTTAGAAATAAATGAATTTAAATCAACATTAAACAAATATGACGACATAAAATAAATGAGACATTTAAGCCTGACGGTCTAGTGTGTATTACTTTCGTCTTATAAAAGAACTGTCTATTTCACTTGTTAGTTTACTAAGATGAGTAAACGATTATTTTTCTCTCAACTTTAAAATACAACCACCATACACACAAATAAAATTAAATGTGTTGGGAAAACTTATTTAACAAGATCTCCCGGAAATGGCCTCTTCGAACTTGGGACTCCTTATAATGCGGTGGCAGATCAAAGTACATTATGATGAATGTGATGATAAACATGGTTCTATTTATTTGGTCAAATAGTGTATGTTTATTTTTTTTAGTGTATTGTGCATTAATCTTAAACCAAAGAAAATCGTTGCAAATCAGATTGCTTAGAGTGTGTTGAATCGTATCATCATATCTACCGGCATATATAACTGTGCTAATAATGTGTTTGATAGTATTACTGATACATGGTCACTCGGATAAATATCAACAGAGAAGTGTTTTGCAGATAACAGCAGACCATATCCTGAATCAATGTATTTGATGGTTATTAATAATCTTAAAATCCACCGTGATATGTATTATTCACGATAAGATTGGTATGTTCGCGCAAATGCTAATCTTAGGATGAATAATTAATTGATTTGTCGTGTGTGTTTTAATCAAAGAAGGACCAGTGTGCGATGAATGTTTTAGAGACAATTATATTAAATTGGTTTAATACGAAGGATGTTATTAATATGATTAATTTGATTGTCATATCTGTGCAAGTTTAATTGTCGTGAGTGAAGGTTTCTAGGTCAAATTTGAAATGGGTTTAGAATTGAATTATCAGAATAAGACGTTTGGGATATTAAATAAGAAAATATTAGGCACAACAAGATTTTCTCTTTCCCATCTTAGTTGAGTCAAAATTTGTTGGTGTATAGAAATGAAATTAATATAAGTTCCGGGTTAAATATTTCATTTTTGAAATGTCAGTTACAAACATGTTGTCTGTAGTACATATAAAAATATGTAATATATAATAATTAAGTTAGTCCAGAATTTATAAGTGACATTGTGTATTAGATTCTTTTTAATAATTTTTTTCAGGAGCTTTGAGTCCCAAAATTCACGGCTTTTCTAATGGATATGGGGCGATGGTGTCCTCACCGTACCTTCTCACTACCCATCCAGCTTTCATCCCTGCATCATTCTCCATGGCATCCCGAGCGAGTTTGATGGCGCGTGGTGATGAGCCGATGTCGTTGATCAAGCCTCCGTTGAGTGCATCCGGAAGCGAGACGTCAGGCAGTCGTGAACACTCTGGCACCGAGAGCGCTGGTGTCTCCCCACGAGATGAACTCAGCTCAGATGTAGCGAAGGATCTTAGCTCACCACATAGTGATGATTCCGCGCTGTGTAAAGACAGACGTAGCGAACATAGCGAGATGATCCACCGTGAAGCAATGGCAGCCATGGAGGAAAGTCTTGGTAAGTGATTCCTACTGTTGATTCCTGTCTGGTCCTACCATCATAAATTTGGTGTCTAGGCCAGCCAATATGCCTTCATTTCTTACTGTGTGTCTTGTATATATCTTAATTCTGGTTTCCTTAAAATCTGTACACTAGTGCAGCTACTGCAGTAAAAAAACTGTAATGGTCTCAAACATAATCGAGAAGGCTCCCCGATATAACCAGCCAATCAGCACCACCGAAAGCTATCGGCGATAGCATGTAGCGATTTTATAGAAACCAAGCCTTAAAAAATTTTTTTTTAAATCATGAGCATGAAACATGATTTTTTTTTTTTTTTAGGATTTGCTTTATGTTCCTTCTTTTTTTCAGTTTTCAATCTGTTACTTTTAAAACCTTTCATTTAATTTTTTTTATTTTTTATAACTTAAACATTTATTTCTTTTTTCTTCTAATTTATGTTTTCTTTTGCCAATTATATATATTATTCATATCCTTATTCAATTATATATTTAATAGTTATTCTCATGAAGATCTCTTAAAATATTTTGTCTGTTGAATCACTGATTCTTATAATTTTCTTGTCGGTTAACGATAAATTTCATAAATAAATTCTTAGTCATCTCTGTTAATTGACCAAATTTTGAACTCAAAATTATTTTAGTTTCTGAATGATTAAAAGTGTCTTGTATCAGTTGAAACCCACGAAAATCCAATTAAAACATGAATTAAACCCCGTTAATTTTACGAATTTACATCTACTGTAATCTGGAATATATATTTCATTATATAATTGACAGATTATTAATTTACATAACGTTTTAACATGAGACACTTTCTATTTATATTAATCTTCGCAATGTGGAGTGAACTACATGAAACTTTTTTTGCCGAGTAAATTACAATTCCGCCACATTCTTGTTATAGTCGGTTTTAAGTATATGAAAATGATGCCACTATTCAGTCATACCGGCATAAGTTTATAGGTCACTAGTGTCATCTGATTGCGTCTTTGTTTCGCCAGTTCCATTCGCAAAAGGAATGGGATTGATATTTTAAAAATGAATTAATCACAAACAAGCGTTGATTCAGATTTGAGTCCTGAAAGGCAACGGAACATTGGTACGACTGTGAATGGCAGTTTGCCTTAGTTTTCTGTCAGCGATTCTATTAGTCGTATTTGAGATATCAATCAACTGGACGGACTTTAGGATCAGCTAGTACGTGTAATGAAGCTGTCATGTTATCAACTGCCAAGATTTTTTAATATGCGGTCATATGTATAATCAGTCAGTGAAGGGCAGCACTATGCATTTGATGTCTCAATTCATTAACGTTGAATTTTAATTTGATACTGTCTATAATTTTCTATTTTTTTAGCGAGCTGTGTAGGTCACTTCCCCCATATCTCCACTTATCTGTTTTCCTTTTGATTCGTTGAATCATCAGGCCTCGCTTTTTTTTACTAGCCATCTCTCATTCGTCTGCTAACTTACACTGATGTTAAACGTGTAGATTTATTTTTATTGCTTTTTATTGGTCAGATATTAGCATAACTTTTCTGACCTTAATGAATCTTCCGGTGATCGTTTTTTTCTCTAGTCATGTCACCTCCAAAACATCCCCAATAATTTAACAAGCAATTCGTTATCATCCTTGAAGAATTACAGATGAAATAAAATGCCTTAATTAGGTCAATTAAGGAAGTGTTTTTGAGAGATAAAATTTTAAAATTTAAAAAGGTGAAACTGAAGAAAAACAAATCATAGTAATATAACTTTCAACAAAAAAATCCAATAAACCATCAGAACTTTTGGTTTATTATAATCTAAAATGTTAGAGGTGGATTATAGTTTATAGCACAAAATTATACTCTAAATACAAAATATTTATTCTTGAGTTGAATATTTATTCTTGACCTCATGATCTAAATGTAATTGAAGAAATTGGCTAATACATATAAGATAAACTACATAACAAATAATATGATAAAAAAAATTGTCAAATATGATCTAATTTTTGCATCAACTTTCTGCATTTCTTGCATTTTTTTTGTTAATGAATGGCATTTATATTGTATATATATTTAATATCCTATTTATACATTTTAAATCAACAGAATGATCATTGACTTTTAATGCATAATAAATGTATGTTGAATAACTTTTAAATATATATTTTAAAATGTAAAAGTTATTAATAAATTTTTAATCTGATAAATAGATATAACTATATTTTAAATGATTAAAAATTAAATACAGATAATAAAAAGATAAAAAACATCATAGATGAAAAATGGAAGAAATAGTAGTGATTATTATTAATTAATTTCAACTTTCTTAAAGGCAAAGTAATAGATTTAATAAATTGTGTAGCACATGTTAACATTTTAAATGGGTATTGTGTGTGCTTAATGAAATAAAGTTATTGTTGTTATTATTATTATTAATTTTAATTTTGATCTTTGTTAAATAGTAAAACGACAAACTACAATTTTAATATAAATTTTATAATGAAAAATTTAAATTGAATCTAAAATAATTATGTTAAAATCACCTTCACCCAAATATCAATGTAATACTGCATTAGATTGCTTGTTATTACATTGTACTTTATCATCACTCAAATCATTCAATCATTTTTTAAGTGCTAGTATAAAGTGGCTATTTGCGAAAGGTCAGTGTAGTTACTGTGATACATATTAACCATCTCCAGTGGTCAAGCAACATTGGTTAGTTATTTATTTAGATTAGGTAGTAAGTTCAGAATTATAATTATATTGGTTTTAACTGAAAGAATAATTCATTTTCCAATTAGATGTATATATTTCATTGTATTTATCAGGTCAAAATTTGGATTGAGTTCAATATAAATCTTTAAATACTTAATTAATGTGGTGATTTTTATGTTATCATTTATTTGTTATTATTATTATTATTATTAATTAAAAATTCATTCCTTATATTATTATTATTATCATGATCACTTTAGCACTCATTAATAATAAAATTTTATTATTGTAAGTGTTAATACTATGCATATAATTAAAATTATTCTTATTATTATAATATTAATTATTATTATGATTATTACCATCGGATAGAAAACTACCCTTGGTATCATGTAATGTAATTTGACAGATATTTCCTGTGTGTGAATGTAAGTCAAGATGATAGTCAATGGACATTAATTAATTGTGTGTGAACACAAGTCAAGTAGTTTGTTAAATTAATAGACACATATTTGTGTGTGAACACAAGTCAATATGGTTGATACCTTAAATGGACACACATGCGAAATCAAAATGGTATTAACCTGGAGCTCTATGAATGACGCAATGGGAAAGCTTGCTTATTATTAGCTGACCTGTGCATTAATTTTTACCATTGTGTTTTCCCAAAAGATGTCAAAATAAACAGCATTACATTTTCTGCCTGTCACATAATTTATTTTTCTAGCAATGATAGTTTAAACCTTAGGTGATGTTTTAGCCTCTAGGCACAGGTGTAATGAGGTCGTTCAGGTAGACCTGATATGTTTGCCGATTTCAATTAATGATATCATCTTTGATTCAGTCATGGGAACCTCCACCACAAAACTCTTCATCTTGTGTCATTTTCATTCTGAAGGGTAACACAATATAGACATGTGTTTGTTTCCATGGAAATGTTGTTAAGGGTAACTGGTCTAATTGGTGTCAATGTCCAGTTTCTTTTTCATGGTGCATGGCTATCAAGAGGATCATTTGATTATTTATTGTTTAATAATAAAATTAAATTCATACTTTAAAAATGGTAAAGCATCCAAAGCATCAAGTCATTGTAATTCTTAATACAAATATTAATAATATTAATATAAATATTAGTATTAATAGGTAATAAGGGGCATTGTTAGTCCATACAATTTTTATTCAGTGTTTTCTATAATGGTAAACATCAACAGAATCATTGATTTTGTGGTAGGCCCATATTTAAGATTTTTGTCATGAAAAATTATCCCAGTGGAATTGTCATTGATTCCTGGTATCAGTCTGTATTCTAGTTGCCTACTGAACCATTCTAAGTTAGATTTCGTTTAATTGGAGCTTTTCTTAATGAAATCTGAAGATTAATGGAGTGACCGAGATGGCGAATGTAAGCAAAGTAGGCGAGGATGAGAAACACATTATAACTGTCACCAGGTGATGAAGATGAGCAGAAGAAACAACAACAATCACAAGTCCACAAGTGGTCATACTTCAAGGAGAAGATTACCATTTTACAAATTTTACATTTGATTGCAATGAACAGTATCACTGTTAGCCATCTTGACTTCAAGGATGGATGCACTTTGACATCACCATAGCAACATATTGATGGATTCTGGGAGGTGTCCAATTCTATTTTCAGTGGGATATTTTTTATACTGATGAAAAAAAACCCAGTGAATTTTTAAAGATTATTTCAATAGGATTGTGACAAGTTTTTGGCTAGCCATTCACCATGGTGCTTATATTATAATTAAGGACAACTGTAGAATCTCAAAATACTAAATCACATGCTTACTAATTCTGCTTAGGGCACTGCTAATTTTTATACCATCCCTGAGGGCGCTGTCTACAATTCTAAGCTTAAATTTTAGCCTAAAGGCCATGTTAAGACTTCACTCATAATTCACCATGGGAATTAATCAGTTAGCTTTCACATTGTAAGAACACAATATTTCTTTGATTCAATTTTCTTTTCTCACTTACCTCTTATAAAGTTATCTAAATATTATGCAGAACAGAGACCTTTTATATGATTTAGTGAATACCAAATCCTAATTAACGAGATGTAGTGTAATTAACCTAATTAAAACAGCTGCGATTGCATTCAAACTTAAGCAGTAAGTGATGCGAACAATTTAAATGAATATCAAAATATTTTTTATATAAATTCTAATAGTACTTTATCGAAATGATCACCAGTTTCATACATTATCAAAATCTGCCTTTTAATGCGCAAAATTATTTAAAAAATTATTTTCCTCTTATAATAAAGCCTATTGAATATTAAATCAAATTGTAAAATTAAAAACTTTTGTTATAGTAATTAATGAATATTAGTAAGTAGTGCTGATTAAATTTAATTCAGTATTAATTCAATAAATAAATAATTTTTTGGATTTAAATATCTAGCCAGTTACAGGTCAGAAAACATTTTGATAAATTGTAAAAAAACATTAATAACTTCCATATCCCAAAAGAAAATTTGATTTCTTAACTTTATGATATTTATTAGGTTTGATTGTTACAACTTAGAACATACATAAATGTGAATGAGTCACAGTTTTCGTGGTACCATTAATCATGGGATGTAAAGATAAAATAATTGGCTAAATGATTAGAAGATGTTTATAACATTACACAGTAGTAACATTGTTATGGCGCAATTGCTCCGGGCTGTAAGCCTTCCATCAATCACATTAGTCTGCATGTTATAGTCACTCGTCGCTAATGTTTTGACCCAGGATGTGGGCGGCATCTACATCGGTCATGTTTATGTATTTTATGTGATGTTAATGACATGACTGCTGAAGATAGATATAGGCCTGCTGTTAAGCTTACAGTTATTCTCACAATCTGACACTAGTCTTATAGTCACCCAGTGAGTTCCTATACATCTAATTGTTACTATATACCCTACGTGACAGATAGACAGTCACAGATTGGCAATTCCTTTTTTGTTTTTGATAGCCATTGAAGTATTAATAGTTTAACCCAACAAAAAAACATGACAGCATGTCATGTGTCAACCACTTCTAGAGTTTACTTCAGCATTTTAGAATTTCCCATAATTCCCTAGTGACGTTAAAACAATGATAAGATATTTGAAAGTAAACCAACCTGAAAGTATGTGTAGGATAAACACAATTGTAATTTTGCTTCTCTGTGCAAAAGGTTACTCAAAGAGATTTCACCAAAAACTGGGTGATGATTAAGTTTACTTCAGCAATTGCTAACACTAAGATGGACCTATTTGCATACATATAAATATCCAAATGTGGATGCATATGCAAATTAAAATCTAACACATTTGCATATAGATATCTTTCTGATGCTACACTGTATGTGATAATTTGTTATGAAGTCTTTATAACAGCAGTAGATGTTTATATATAATGTATATAAGAATGTTTAATTACATTTTTCTTTTATTTTTCTTTATATATTCTGCAGCTCACATTCATAGTAAGCAAGAGAATGGACTGTCATCAATGGGATCCACATTGCAACCACCTGTAGCCCACAACTCCTACCATTCCAAAATGCCAACCCCTAGTAAGTTGAACAAATCAAACAAAGATACTGTTTTGTGACGTAGTGGTTAAGGTACCCACCTTGGAATCCCAAAGTCCTAGGTTCAATTCTTTCACAAAACTCTCACTATATATATACTGTCTCTTATAAGCTAGGTCAAACAGGGTTTCGGGGGTTTGATGAATTGAAGTGCACAGCAGCACTTTTATGGCGATAATATAAAAAATATCTTCCATTCAATCTTCTGTGTACTTTGTGTACTTCAGGTAAAGTTTTTTTAGTGAAGTGAAAAGGTGAATTGTTCAACCTGAATTTTATAGACAATCAATTTAATTGTTCAATGAATTTTATGCAAATTTAGCCACATTGCGGTCGGAAACCATTTGCAATGATGAGCATGTTATATCCAGATATGTCAATTACCCATGTGAATCGAAAAATCAAGGAAAGAAAATAGGAAAACTTATGTGCTTAAAGTTGATGAACTCGATGTAAAACCGGAACAGCCTTGAAGAAACCTTACCAGAAAGAAAATCTACCGTGATCTTTAAACCACAGATGTAAAAATCACCTGTGATGTCTATTGTTAATTATCTTGTACAAACATCTTTGCTCGTATTTAAACCCTTATGCCCCCAATTGAGCCAATCGTTTGCGTCGTTGAGCCTTCTGTTCTTCCCGTTCAGATCATAGATTATCACCTGTTTGGTTTAAACAGCTACAAGGAATTCTCCTATCGATAAAATTTACAACATATAAATTATATTTCGATGTTATTACCTCGAATTTATGAGAGGGAAATTGGAAACCATATTTATTCTATTGTATTTTATTTCTTGTATTTTTATATCTTCTAGGTAGTACTACCCATAAATAATTCTTTAATATGTATGAGATAAAATATTGTAGATAAATATTAATGTGAGTATAATAAGTCGTAGATAATCAATAGTTACAGTATAAAGGACATATTTTTTATCTTTTTATTATGTAAGATCCTTGGTTTAAATTAATTTCACAAATTTCATAATAGTAATAATAATTGTGAAGCTTGTTATAAAATGGATATATATTCACCGGCATGTTCTTCAACGAAGATAAAAAAATCCACTATGGAAAGAACAAATAACAAGTACCGTTGTACATCGAAATTTAATACAACAATATAAATTGATATTTTTAAAAAAATGCAAATAGAAAAATTTAAAAAAAAGTTATGCCATAATTACAGTATTTATGAGTAACTGTTAATCATGTATATGATTAGACATTGAATTAGGTTAATATTATGTACATTATTTATAATTTATAGGTTAATAACACAAACTAAACTCTAATACGGCACTGTTAAAACTAATCACAATATAAATTGATAAAAGTAAAAGATAAAATTCAAATAGCCAAAGAAAAAGCCACTACAGTTAACATGTGCTTATTAATATATAAGGTTAAATTATAAGGTTGATCATTTGTAAAATTAATATTTTGCTGTTATGTATTCCCATAATTGGGTACTACAAAATTCCAAATTTTCTTTTACTCTGGTATTAAGGAATCAAGGAATATTTATTGTTGACAATACAACATCATACAATCAAAATTTGGATCCAGGTGCTTAAGCAATAGGTTAAATATACATAAAGATAAAACTAAAAATTAGGCTTAATATCAAATTATTTGTTGATCTAGTTTTTATCTAATATTTGTAATGTACACATTATGAAATATCATGCAACGAACAAGTTTTTAGTATAATTGCCCAGTACAACTTTATAAAAACAAATGAATTTGCAAAATTCTCTGATGGCTAGCCTTGACTGGTCATCCTTTTGTGAACTGTTGAGTGATGTGCTTTATCTCCATGTCACAAACTAAGCAGTGTCTTCCTACACCAAGGCTTCTTGAGTAAAATCTTTGTATTTACATTAATTCATTAATAAATTTACTTTTACATTGTAACTTAGGATAGTAATTTTTTTAACACTGATTCATGTATGCAAAAAAATTATATAATTGTAAAAAACCATATTGCCTTTATTTTGATTTAATTTATTATTAAAATATATATATATATATATATATAAAAAAACAATAGTATGTTTTTTTTATACCAGGATGAATGTAAAGTTAATTAGATAATTACATTCTTATGAGTAATAATAATTATTTAAACTATATACTCTTAATATAATAATGATATTGTTCACAACAATATTTTTGGATAATTTTAAAATAATTTATCCTTTCTTGGTACTTAAATTATAGAGGGCAGCATTCATATTTTTAATTTTGGTCTTTTCAAGAACTTTGATTTTTGTAGACTTCATTTAAGGATTCGATATTTTAACTCTATTTGCAGCAGGGGATGCCAGTTAAGGGGCCGGGGCCAGGACGAAATCTAATTTTCTCAGGATATAAGTGTATTTATTAAACTTAGAAAGTAAATTGTTATTTTAGTTTGTAAATTGTTATTTTAGTTTGTATATTAACCTACTAAATCACAATCTAAAACCTACTTTGCTTTTTTTTCTCTGTCATACCTAAAGTAGTAGAGAGTTTTGTTTTTTTAGATTATTGTCCTTTTCCTTGTTTTAATTCAACTCATGTATTTCTAAAGTAAATATTAAAACAATAAAATCAATATAGTCTGGACCACCATCATAACAGAATCTTTGTTATACTTAAGCAGAAACTTAATTTGATGAAATGAATTACTTTTGTGTGAATACCTATGTGTAACATTAGCACGCATCCCGTGTAATATCCATTTAAGAAAAAACAGACATTGTAGAGGCCTATAGCACTATTGAGATATTTAGCAATGGTCTGTGTGCATGTTCACATGGCGCGGCTTAGCTGATCCACTCTGTGGCGTTGCGTGTATCTTTACTGCCTGCGTAGATATTGTACCAGATTTTAAAGTCAGGCTCCGGTGGAAAAAAAATTTTTAATATGTTGTAGAACTGATTTTTCTAAGACAGAAAAAAGTTGTTTGACGAAAAACTTTGGAACGGTGAATGAGATAACAGATTTTTTAATATTTCAAAAACTGGGGGAATAAGGAGTAAAAATGGGCAGTTACACCCCTTTTTCCCCCAGTTTTTAAATATTAAAAAATCTGTATCTCATTCACCGTTCCCCAGTTTTTCGTCAAACAACTTTTTTCTGTCTTAGAAAAATAAGTTCTACAACATATCAAAAAAATTTTTCCCTCCGGAGCCTTACTTTAATCAATGATTCTATTCGTTTGTCTAATGTTGAATGTATCTGGGTAGGAATTTAGCATGCATCCCAAAAAAACTTTTGTATGCCCATATATAGTCATGATGTGCCTATATATGGTCATGATGTGATGTCATCATGACTATATTTAGGCATGTCACATGTTGTCAAATACAATTTGGTTGTCTGGACAGACCTTAAGTTAGGTAATAATAATTATTCATCCATTTCTTAGCAAATATTCGTTATTTTAAATTGCCAACTAATTATTATTATTATTATTAATATTGTTGTTATCTTTATTTAATATTGTTGGTTGATAATAATTATGATATTCTATGGCATGATCTATCATAAATCAAATTACAATGGGGTTATATTTCATAAATGCTAATAAATATTTGGTCATTGGTAAACAATGTTTTGTTAATATTATCAACACAATGCAATTAGGTTTAGTTGGAGTATTTACATGTTAAATAAACAAATGAAGATTAGTTAATTAAAGTTACACGGTCACCGAAATTGGATTACATTAAATATAAACCTAGAATCTTAATTTATTCAGTTTTAATAACATTTCAAATAAACATACAACTTCGTTGATCAGGTCACAAAAGAAAATATTAACAAGAATTTCCCTAGATATTAAATAAATGATCCTCATCATATTAACTATGATTCAGAACATTTAATACAAATTTAATTGAAATTTAAAGTTTTCAATATGCTAAATCAATTGAGATTTGAGTTATTTTTTCTGTTTCTATTATACTACAGTACATTTTATAGAAGAAAAACTAAATGTTAAAGTGTTCATAAACATGTTATCTGGAAGCCACTACTTATAACAAGCAATCACGAAACAGAGAATAAGTTGAGAGGGTAGAGGAACAGCAAGCAAAATGCTCTGTGATGCATAATTCATGAGCAGTCTTGGTGCATGAAGGGAATTTTCATCATATTAACTGTGATTCAGAACAATTTATACAAATTTAATTGAGATATAATGTTTTCAATATGCTGAACCTAATAAAATTTATGTTCTTTTTTCTGTTTCCATCATACTACACTACATTTTATAGTAAAAAAGTGTTCTTAAACATGTTATCTGGAAAGCACTACACAACCAAGCAATACTTGTTAAAGACCACATATTGTTTCTGATTCAACCTTTCTACTTTGCCTATAATACGATTAGAGCAATATCCAGACCATAGCTATTTAATATTCAAATCAATTACCGTTGATACAAAAGTGTTTATTATAACTCAATCAGATTTAATATTATCACTACATTTGAAATGAAAACTACTACAATATTTGTTTGACCATTCATCTTCCTAATTCAACCATAGCTATTGTTATAAGAATTGAAACACCATTTGTTATAATACTTGGAAGAATTTCATCTATTCTTTAGTTAATTGAAATAATGTTATGTTTTAATTTAAACCTACCTCATTAATTAGTAGGTATACATCCTTAAATTGAATGATTAATAATATATGAATGATTAATAATATATGAATGTTTAATGTACTTAATTCATAAACTAATTTATAAATACATATTTGTAATGTTATTTAAAGTAGAATTAGCTATGGTCCATATACTAATTATATAAATACATATTTTATATTCATAATCCATTATGTATTTAAAGTAGAATTACTTGTGGGTGGATAATACACATTAAGACTACTAGATTATTATCCTATGTTTATATAAAGAGGGTTAACTATGACAATAGCGAGTTTATCGTTGAAACAGTCCAACGCTAAATGTTGGCCCATTTCCTTTCGGCGGGAATAATCATGTATTGATAATCACGAAATGTACTATTGCGGTACTATCTCATTTTAACAGTCACGCGTCGGCAGATTGAGATTACATTAAATCAATGGTTTTCCTGTTTGTCGCATCTTACTGCAAAAACATTTCCTGAATTTTACATTTGATTAAACACACAAAACTGTATAGCACTTACATCTGGTGGTAATTGTTAGTTTTTTCCATATCTCTTAGGAGTTCCAATTGTTGTATGATAATTGAAAATGAGGTCCCAGGAAATACTTCTGAATATAAATGAGAAATCTTTAGTAAAGATTTCGATCTGAGTATGAAGACGATACCACATGTTCAGTCACCCGACGACCTATTTAGGAATTAGTTTGTTTTTACTATATTGTATTGTGGTTTTCCTAATGGTAGTTTTCATATATATCCCAGCCTCATAATATTTCATATCCAGGTGTTTTAAAAGACCCTGGGGATTTAAGGAAGAATTTTAAAAGACCCTGGGGATTGTTGGAAGCAATACCAGCAATGTGTAATATGATTTATCAGCACATTTTTTGGAATCTACATTCGCAGAACTATTAAAATGTAATTTGGGGGAAAATACCCTTTAAACTATACTGATTAGTTTTAATGATGCATTTTTTTTTTTTTTTATATATTTGCAGGATGAATATCAGTTTAATTCCTATTGTCATGAGGTATCATCTGTCCTATACAACATGTCATGACTTACTTTGTAGGATCTTTATTTTTTGCAGAAAAACAAGAAACAACAGCATATTGAATTAAAAATACAAATCGATTTCTTTGTCTGTGAAAATCGGTATCTTTCTGTCTGTTACATTCTGCACAAACGCCTGGTGTGCATCAGGTCGTCAACAATATTTAATTACATTTTAAGATGTGTAATAGCACCCCTCAGTTACACTTTTTAACACATAGCGTTTTGTTGACATGTTAATATTGCTTGCTAATAAAAATACAAACATTTATTAAATCTGAAATATACAGTATTTGTATGTTGCAGAATTATTGACCTTTTTATAAATTATTATCACATATTATAAAACATTATTATATATTTTATTACTTTGAAAATACACTATGATTATTAATGACCTAAACAAAAATATGTATATATTTGCAAGTAGTTTTTGGATATATTTAACAAGGGTGGGCCATTAATCAAAACTGATTTCAACCAAGTCAAGTTGTGAAAGATTTATATTTTGCAAGGATTGAACCAACAATGATTTGAAGGTGTGTGCCTTACCAAACAAACCAAAGCCCCAATTAATTGTTTATTGTTATCTATATTTCCATTATAATTTATGGACATTTAATGTAGGCTTATGATCTTCACCCACCTAAATTCTTTGATATTAGAAAGCATAAGCTAGACAAGGCTTGCTTCTAGGCTCAGAAAATATACAACAAAAAGACAGGGAGCTCCCCACCCAGGGAAAATCTCTTCCCTCAGTATATGCAATACAGGAAATGATCAGTTATAGTAAAGAAAAAACCCAGCTCCCAATGGACCGAGAGGGAAGTGAGTCGATTGTCATATCTGCTCCTTTAAACGAAACTGGAAACTTAAGAATTGAACGAGAAGCTTCCCGTACTGTTTATTGAAGTATAATGAAAGCGATGTGTTGTACATTTGAAAAACAATAATTGATCAGTGAGTTTCACATGATATGTGTTAGTTTGTGCATCGCTGCATCACTAAAACGGAAGCTGCAATTTAACCCATTTTTGCAGAAATATTTCCAAGGTTGACCTGGGGAAAAATTGATAAAACACCAAACAGACAATTTATGAAATTGTTAGATAATGTTGCACAATATCAGTTTTAGCAAAAAACGATAAGCGATAAGTATTAATTAATATTTAATCAATTATATTATAATATTCTCTAATTTTTTAGGAGTACCCCATCCAGAACCCATGGAACGACACGAACGTCACCCAGCGCACAATCTGATGGATATGACGGAGACTTTAACATCACAAGCACCCTCACAGATTGAAACACTTCTCACCAATATTCAGGGTCTGCTGAAGGTTGCCGCAGACAATGCTAAGCAACAAGAAAAACAGGTGCATCTTGAGCGGGGTAAGTTTTGTTGGTGGTCCTTCAAGACTATAATAGGGGGCGCAGTTATTTTTAATTTTATCGTCCATTGCAAGAAGACATTCAGTTTTTATTATTGGAAAACAATAAAAACCAACATCTTGATAAAACTCTTTGAACAAATGGGGAGGGTGGAACTAGAGAAGTTGTAGACATTACTCAGATTTCGACACCTTTGATGCATTATTTTGGGGGCATCCATGACAGACTACATGGCCTGACCTCTTCGGCTAAATATGTGTGATCCCAATTAACCTTTCCGCACATCTAAAGCGAGTATCACATCCAGCTCTCCATTAATCGAAGCTTAACATATGAAATGTAACAATAAATGGAAAGATAGATGCTGCCGTGTCAAAATGAAGACGTGTGGACGTGTGTGACATGGTTTATTTTCTGTCTTGTTGCACTTTTCAAGCACATTTCAATTTCAAACAGAAATAACATTCTGTCTGCTGATATAATAAACTGGAAATATATAAAATTGAATTGCTTAATTTGTATACTAACATGCATATATGTAATACATATAATGTACATATACATACATTAAGCATGGCTTATACATATTATATACCTAAACATTATGTACAATGTATATGTATATACTTATATACATTATGTGTTAGTTTGTAATTCTTCAATA